GCCGGAACAGCGGCCCAATAGCGAAGGGTATTTGAGGAACCGCACAAATCGTGCATGCAATAGGAAAATGCATGGGTGGGGCGGTAATCGCCCAAAGTCTGTGGTGGTAATGAAAGAAAGAAAATAAAGGGGTCAGATTGTTGTGACGAATATTTTTTTAAAAAAATCAGGGTGGAATTTAAAAAAGTCATGTGAAGAGCAGTATATAAATAAGCCTGCCTGTGTTTCATCCCTAACATTAGTATGTGTTGGAAAGAGTAGCATTACTGCTGGCAAAGTGCAGTGACATAATAAATGAAGTAAAATGGGGTTTGGAAGTATGTGGCAAGGGCGTGTCATGTGTCTGGAGGTGTGTAGCGTAGTTGAGCGAACCCCCTAAGAGAAAAGAGAGGAGTAGAATAGTCGTATATGTGCATTTAATATTCTGAAAAGGAGCCAAATTTTGGAATATATTCAGTAAAACCTTTGTATTGGTATTTGAATATGAATTATAAATACTGAGTAATAGAATATGTTTGTGAACGATAAATTTTTCATGAAATTTTTGTTAAGCAAATCTAGTTCTAAAAAAAATCATAAAAATTAATAAGTTTTGGAAACGTGGTTGGTTTTTTTTTTGATTGGCTTCAAATCATTCCTGCTATAAGAATCGTTAAAAAATCGCAATTAATGCAAACTGCAGCCAGGTATTCGCAAAATACGATTTGCTTTTGTCGATTGCTTCTTTCTGGTCCGTTTTTATTTTGAAAGGGTAAAAAAAAAAAGAAAATAGAACTTACCGTGCAATTTGTAGCCATAGTTTTGTGTTTTTTGGGTTTTTTTTTTTAATTGTTAAATTTAGTTGTTTCCTAGTGGTAAATTGCGTATTGCAAAGACAGGCTGCGCTGAATGGGCCGTTGTTCCTGGCCTTGGTTACTACCCTCTTCCATTCCCTCACAAGGCCTTTGAGGCCCGTACTGCCTTTTACTTACTTGCTTATTTGGGAGATCTGAATGGCACTACTTCCAGTGTGTTTTCATTAATTATCAAAATTCGATTGTGTTCCTCTCCACGGTGCTGGGCCAGAAACGCCAAACAAACTGCATATGTTAACACATAGACGATTTCAGGCTCCCGTCCTCTTCCAGTCTCCCAGCCAGGGATATTCATTGTTTGTATCTTTAAAATTTCTAAAACGCTTAAAATTACAGACTTCGAGCGGAAATTGCAAAAGTATGCGATGAATTACTTTTGTGCCAGTCCTCAACGCCCGGTGAGCTCGGCTCGGCTTGGTTGGAGAAAGTCTTGCAGCTCTATCAGATCACAAATCTCAATCATGGCCTTATGCTTGTTGGTGCAAGCGGTAGTGGCAAAACCACTGCTTGGAAAGTGCTACTGAAAGCACTGGAGCGACTTGAAGGAGTCGAAGGTGTTGCGCATGTTATCGATGCGAAGGTCTGTTTTTTTTTTTTTCTAATTTTTGCTTTTAAACCATCAAAAATGTTTATTCAAGGGTTATATCGGTATGTTTTTAACGGTCATGAAATTTTGATGCAGTGAAGATGGATTTTTTTAATTCGGGGACTATATCTTTATGTGTTTATTTGAGTGAAATTTTATAAAATTTTAATTTTTTTTGAAGATATTTTTTTCAGGCGATGAGTAAGGATTCGTTGTACGGTGTGCTGGATCCGAATACACGTGAATGGACTGATGGTCTTTTCACACACATCATTCGTAAGATAATTGACAATGTTCGGGGCGAAACGGCTAAACGTCAATGGGTGATCTTTGATGGCGATGTTGACCCGGAATGGGTGGAAAATTTGAATTCTGTGCTCGACGATAACAAGCTGCTTACGCTACCGAACGGTGAACGTCTTGGAATACCTCCAAATGTTAGTTGCGTCCGTTTATTCCTGTAGTTTTGGGGGATTTTTTAAATAAAATCTTCGATTTTGGCATTTTTATAAAAACTTTGTTTAGGTCCGTATTATCTTCGAGGTAGCTGATCTGAAATACGCAACTCTGGCAACGGTCTCACGTTGTGGTATGGTTTGGTTCAGCGAAGAAATG